AAGCTAAACGTCTTCAAAGAAAAACCAAGGAAATCCAGTTGCCCCTTGAAAAAAGCGCCTTTGGGATCCTAAGCAGTGTTTTGCTAGCACGTGAAATTAAGATTATTGTGTAATGGTTTGTATCTATATACTGCTAAAACCCTCATTGTCAGAACCATCGACTGGGCAAAATAGTACATCTTAGGGCAACAGCCTTTTTATTAAAGGTGAAGGTTCCCCTGCACATGCGTGCTAGTCGTTCATGACTCTAGGGGGCAGTGCTCATCTCTGTTTCTAAGCCAAAGAGCCAGCGCTATCCGAAGACATCTCTGTGGTCATGTGGCCGGCATGACTCAATACCGAAGGTGCACGGAACGTTGTTACCTTCCCACCAAAGTGGTCCCTATTTTTCTACTTGCATTTTTACGTTCCTTCGAACTGCTAGGTTGGCAGAAGGTGGGGACAAGTAACGGGAGCTCACTCCATTACATGGCGCTAGGGATTCAAACCGCTGAGCGTCTTAACCACTGAGCCACCACATCCCTTTGAACTAAGGTTAGCTCTGGGCTAACTTACAAAATGCATCCAAAATCTGGGACCCAGACTCCCATGGAATTTGAAATTGGACAAATTTTAAAAAATCTTTTATGACACAATAGTTTGACACCCCTGTATTAAGGCCTTAGCCTAGAAAGTAGGAGGCTACGAGTTCATGTTCTGCCTTAGCCACGAAAGCCCGCTGGGTGACTTTGGGCCGATCATTCTCTTTCAGCCCAACTCACCTCACAGGATTATTGTTGTGGAGGAAACAGGAGGAGGAAGGGCTATGTTTGCCTTCCGGGGTGATTTGTAAAAATAAAAGCCGGATAAAGGCAGTAAAAATGAAGATAGGACTTGGATCCGTGATGGCTAACCTTTTTATTATGGCGCGCACATGTGCCCACACCAATTCAATCCTCCCCGCCCATCTGTGCATTTGTGCGTGACCCCTCCCCGCACACATGCGTGGACGACCCCTCCCCAGGCTCCGGAGGCTTTACTGAAGCCTGGGGAGGGCGAAAACGGCGTCCCCCAGAAGCCGGAAACAGATCGTTTCTGGCTTCCAGAGAGCCTCCAGGAGGCCGGGGGAAGCCCTTTTCGCCCTTCCCAGGCTTCAGGAAAGCCTCCGGTGCCCATTGGGGCCGTTTTTTGCCCTCCTCAGCATCTGGAGGCTTTTATGAAGCCTGGGGAGGGCAAAAATGGCCTCCCCCAGCCCTCCAAAAGACTGTGAATCATCTAGCCGGCGTGCGTGCCAGCAAATATGGCTCTGTGTGCCATTGGTTTGCCATCACAGACTTAAGATTGTTGTGAGCAATATGCTGACTCTTAGAACCCTTACTGATCCTTCTTCTCCTGCTTGCCATGTTTTTGTGGATATTCCATTCCTGCAGCCTTCCAGTTTGGTAATGACTGGAGTGGCGATTTAACTCCAGTCTTCTAGTACTAGAGATTCTTGTAAGTAAGGAGCAGTGATGTGCGGTGAGGTTTATGACTGGTGAGGCAAGCGGGCAAAAGCCGCCCTATGTGGGACACAGCACCGGGGCTTCGGCGGGGCTTTCGGAAAGGCGAGAGAACCACGTGCCTCATCTACATGAGGAATTTTTCGGCTTTTAACCCTTGCTTAACTCTGCTCAAGTAATCATAACGTCAGACTAAGCGAGGCATGTGGTTCTCCCGCCTCCTCCTGTAGAGGGCACTTTTTTAGAGGCTTTTTTAAACAGTTGAGCACTAAGCAGAGTCATCCACT